GAGAATGACTTAGCTCATTTGCATAATTGTGGGAGGTGTGACCTGTCACTTTTTTATGCATACTAATGAGATGAATGCGGCATGAATATAACTACTTGTGCACCTCCGTAAAACTACATCACAAAAATGTTATCTTCTCTATCTAGGAAAAAAGGGAGGGCCAATGAACTAGTCAAACACTAGATTACAACACCTTGCGACTGGTCAAAATCTGTAGCAGTGATCACTTTAAGTAGTAATAATGCCTAAAGCATGGAGGACAAAGTTCTTACCACAAATAAGATTCCCTGTTGTCCACTGCTCCAGGCGCTGCAGTCCTGGCTGTCTCTTTGTCCTGAGTGGGGGAAGATTACAAGTCTCTTAGTACACAGAATCATAAAGAACAGTAATACGTCCATATAGAAGGAAATGAAGGGAACCCACCTTGGCCTCAGTGAAGCGGGGCCCCTTTCTGTGACGGAGGACTGGAGGGATCTGGCTTTCATCCTGTCTGATGGAGCTCCTACTGTCACTCCTGAGAAGACAACATCCATTTAGGTTTCAACAAGAAAGAGGCCCAGGAAATACAGTCAAAGCAGACATTATTAACAGACATCTCTTATAGTATAAAATACTATATGACAGTAAAAAAAAGTTGTTATTAATAAACAAGAATACAGTTTAAAAGGGGAGTGATTTTTAAAATATCCATAAAGAAAAAGAAAATCTGCTTCCAGTTCTGTTTCATATGGGTGTTGAGAGATGTATCCATAGATCTCCTCATGTTGCTCTCAAAGTGCAGCAGATTGATGCTTTTAACTTCAATATTTAAAAAAAAAAATCCCCCACTTAAATCATGCTCAAATTGATAGGATACTAAATACATTTGCCCACATCTTGTGTCCATATCTTTCTGTTTTGGTGGTGCCACAACCGTGCATGCATATGCGAATCATAGTGAGTGTCTGCATTTGGGGGGGGGGGGGGGCCNTGCAATTATAGGTTTTAATTTTGTATTTGTGTTAATTTAAAATAGGGGGGGGGGGGGCGCCAGCTAAAATCTTGTCTAGGGCGGCAAATTGGTCAGGGCCGGCCCTGCCCCTGATGAATACTAGTCCAATATTCAGTCACCTTTTAGCTCTGTTTTGGTCTCCACCACGTGCCGAGGGAAGTCTCTGTCTCTGCGTCTGTGTGATGTTTGCTGTATGCAGTGTTAAACTGTGTTAAGCACACATGTTAGATTCCATTGGATAATCCTTTGATATTCCCAGACACCGGGGTTCTTTGACATTTCTTAATTTAACCAGATCTTCATACAAAGATCAAAGTAGCTCTTGAATTATAATTGTCACCAAGTTTAAAAGTCAAGATGTTTAATAATGTCTTATCTAATTGTAATTGGAACACTGACTGCCTGTTTTAAAAGTTATTACAACAAATATGTGGCAGAAACCAAAGTAAGGAGAAGTTAAATGAATGAATGTGCATGTTCAGTATGCATATAATGTATGTGTATCTACACATGATGTGTGTTGGCATAGGCCTTTATGTATAAATATTTTTCACATCAAAAAGTTTTATTTTAAGCACATTTAAGTATTGTTACTGAACCTGAAATGTAAGAAAAAACGTATGATGTTTTATTATCTCATGAATCATATGAATGGTTATAAAACAAAAACAAATACTTTAGATAAGCTAAAATGTTGTTTTCGTATAATTAAAGTGCCTGCGTCATCATGCATACATGATTATTTTCAGGATCTCGTGTGTTTAGGTACACATACGTTTCAGTGATGATTGAACAGCTTTTGCTAAAAATATATGCTGCTGACCATAAATATTTATTAAAGTCTAAATTGTAAATTCAATTCCACTGCTGAAGATAATAGAGCTCTCTTCCATTCATTAATTCCACCACAATAATGTCTGTAACCATGATCCACTTCTTTATGTCTCTCAACCCTCATAAGGCCCTCCATCATTCCCCTCACCAGCCCACATAGATCACTTCAGTGCATTTAAGGCAATATCTGAGTAAAGTGACTCCCGGGAGTGTGTGTTTCTCAGTGTTCCAGGGAGCAGACTAAGAATAGAAGGCCTACCTCACAGGCTCTGTGTTTTCCCTGGCCGAGCCCGAGCTCTGTTGCTCAGCCTCACTGAGATCTCTGCCGCCTGCAGGAACATCAGCACCCCTCCGTCCTCCCATTGGCTCCCCGGGCAACACACAGGCTTCATTAGATTCAGATTCTTTCTCAGCCTCCTGGTTGGTCTCCTAATACGCGAGAGATATGGAGAGAGGAATCTTTCAGCTTACAGAAGGGGAAGACCTTTCAACAATTTCATTTTGCTTCATTTCAGAGTGCTGATGACTTCTTATGTGGATATTCATGCTCCCCAGATTATGATCCCTAATACTTTAGGGGACCATTTCTCTAGCACCATCTTCAGGTGTTGAGGTTCATGAAATTATTTTATTCCGCAGATTGCATCTTTTCACTCTGTACATGATAAACCCTTTCCATTTTGGCCACTATGAGCCTACCTTCAGTTGAAAATGTCCATTCGAAATGAATCTGCATTTTAATATTTCCACTGCCCTTTTTTCAAACTCAACTTTTTTTTAGGTTAGATGCCTGAAATAAGGTCTTGGTTAACACAAGATTAAGATATTTTCACGTTTTGTTCTATGACAAAAATTAAGTCAGTATTTTTAGCTGGATGTTTGCCGCCTTTAGCTTAGCAGTTGCTAACAAGTGATTAAAAGGCACTGGTCCAAACGTATGTTTGTCAGAGATCTTTCTGCAAAATTTAGAAATCCAATGACACAATCCTATTGCTTTTTGTCGAGGGAGCCCTTGTGATGCTAGCTTCTAGTTTAGCCACCACAAATACGTGATCACTGCACCACTCTAGAGATTGACATGATCACATTCATGCTGCCAAGATGATGAACTCCTGTGCTTCTGATGGCCCCTTAATATTTCCTCTTGCATCATTGTAAGAACTAAGTAGTAGACTTACTGCGAATAAAGATCCAACAATAGCAAATGCATAGTACTAACATTGCATTACTAACAACCATTTAGGCCTCAGTACTGTAAATGGTCCCCCCCATGGTCATGATTTTTGCGGCATGAAAGTAGGAGAGATTTCAACTTCTCTCTCTTCACACTGTTGTTGTGAATGTTCATGTAAACAACTGTTTGTAACACCCAAAATGCTTTCAAGGACAAGCTGTCCAAAGCTATGAGCGTTAGCATGGGAACATCACAGTGACTGGCCTCAAGCTTTCAGCAGGTCATCTGGTCATGAGTGAGATATTGTGGAGGTGTGAATGTTCACATTGCTTCATGTTCCTGTTTGAGCAGTTGGACCATTAGACACACACAGGCAGACTGGGGCTTGTGTTTTTATAAAGGGAGCACTTATTTTACACTGGAAAATAAACAGCAAAGCTAACAGGAAGTCTACTCTCTTTTATGTCAATATTAATCCTATCCATTTGAAGTTTAAGATGTTATTGTAACATAAGCTTTTTGAATAGGTCCTCATTTGTTTTAAGAACTCGGAATATACATTTTCAGTATTTTGCAAATGTTCTTTTTATACCATTTTCATACAATTTTTGGAAACAATTTCCTTCCAAAAAGCAGTATCCTTTGAACTGTGCTGCCAAATACTAGTAAAGATTGAGAGAGACGCTTCAACCCTTGAATGAAAAATAATGTTGAATATAAAACATTACAAAAATGATAGCACTTCTTATTCCATATACATTTTAAGAGAGTTTATGTAATTGTTACACACAGTCCTTCAGGTGGTGCGAAAGGGTTATTTCAATACTTTAAATAAATGTAATATGTTCATCTTTAATAATTGTATCCTCCCTATCAGATAGAATGGCTAAGGGAAATATCTATCTAAAAATGTAAATACTGACTAGGGGATTGACAAAGTGATTTTAATTAACCCACAAGGGAACATCATTTTGTATCAAATGAATGGCATTCAACCAAAAGTAGTTTAGAGATTCAATTAAAACAAAACATGTCAACTTGATGGTGGTACAACACTTTTTTTCTGAGGACCAAGAATATCCGTATATCTTTCGAATGACCTACCAACATTGCCAACCATTAAAACATGGAAATGGACAAAAACTCCACTGAAAATAAACTGAAATACTTGATACTTAATTGTTTAAAAGTGCAAGCTCATTTGAGACTGGGATAGTCTGATCGTACGACTGAATTTACCTCATCATCCTCTAGTATGGAATCCATTCTCTCCCTGTAGTCTTCACCCAGCAGGTCCAGTAGCTGGTCAGGATCAGTCTCTGAAGCTGGGGCTGGCTGGAGAGCAGATACACTCAAAACAGAAGGCCAACTCTGCATTTCAAAATCCGGCAGCTCTGTAAACATGTGTTCCTCTTTGTCTGGGTAGAACAGATCCATGGGTTCGATAGAGTCACAGATTAAATCCCCTGCATGGGAATTTCTATCAAAGTCTGTATAAAATAGGTCCATGGTTGTGGAAACACTACCCGTATCTAAAGTGTTTTGTTGTGTTGTGGCTGTTTGATTGTCACATATGACTGATCCGCTGATGTCATGTTGATCCAAACTTTCTATGACCCTTTTTTGTTCTGATTCTGTTGGTTCAACATTTTCTGATACCAGACAGGAAGGACTTCCAACAGAGTCTTTGTCAACATTGTCATTGGAATCACAATCCAATTCAGGAGGATTGTCAGGGCTGTTGACCTCTCCGTCAGTTCCCTCTGCTTGATGTTCCTCATCTTCCCCAACACGATCACTACTTTCTGGCACACATGTCCCCTCTTCTTCCTGCTCTTCTGGCTCACTGGAAATAGATATCAATGGAATATGTATGCCTCTGCTTGGCTCAATACTTGTTTTTGAAACTCCATCTGTGTTGGATGGATGTGTGTTTGCTAAAGTCTCTGAGCTTAAGCTTTCTTGAGGACCTGGGTACTCTCTTAGAACTCCTTCACTTTCTTCTTGTTTTCCTACACCCCTTTCCTTATAAACAACAGCCTCCTCGGTTGGCTCTCCTCTTGTCTCTTCTGGACTATCTTTTTTCTGACATTCAGTTTCCCCTTCAAATTCGTCAGAGTTATTTCTCTCATTCTGACTTGCAGTTGCATACTTGATTTGTTCTTCATGTTCATTGGCATTCCCATTAACGTCCACAGCTTTCTCTAAGTATTCCGGGTCTCCATGAGCGCTCTCTTCAACAAGGGTTTGCTTGAGTTGTGACTGATTAGATTGATCAGTTTCTAGGAGATGTTCAACACCAGAATTAATCCGTTCTTCTGCCTCACACAGTCTAAAAGAAGGTTCTTGCTCTCTGCTCTGACTTGTATCCATGTCCATAGAGTCTACTTCTTTCGTAAGATCAGGTTCTTGTTCTATTACCATTTCCTGGTTGTTATTCTCAAGGTTTGCCTTTTTCACTTTGACAACTTCATCTTGCTTTTTCTCAGAATGCCCATGAATTCTTTCATTGGTGCTCTCCAACGAGCTCAGTGAGTAAATCCCTTCATCGATGTAGGACTCAGTATTCGACTGCTCATCAGACGCTCTATCCTCCATGGAAGGGACAAATCCTTCATCTAGATTAGTGATCTCCACAGGGGTGGCACGGTACACATCCCAGGCTGTTCCACTGTCACACAAAGAACTCTCGCTTTGGCTTTCACAAAACTTCTCTGGCATCACCCCGAACTCGCTCTCCATCCAGGAGTCTGGCGAGCCGATTGCAGAGTCGCCAATAACTGACTCTGTGTTTATGGACTCGGGCACCGATGAGCCTGTGGGAGAGTGACTGTAAGGCGGTTGTGGGGAGTTACAAGTTGTGTTGACCTCACTGGTGGATTCATTGGGATCTTCAACCACACTGCTTGAGATGTCTTCTGTGTGGGGGGAATCTGCTAAGATGTCTTCAACCGACCACGAGCGAGCTGTAGGCGGTCTGAAGGGGGGTGACATGGCGCTCCTGTCCTCTGACACAGAGGAAATTAAGATTTTGGGTGGGGCTTGGGCAGAGATCTTCTGGAACATGTAGGACCTCTCCTTCACTCTGCTTCGGTACGCACAATTCCTTATGTGGTTGGTGTCACTGTCACGGAAGTTGAGTCGGCCCATGGAGACGCTTCGTTCAATCGGCTGGCAGCGCTCCTCCGGCTGAGATGGAAACAAACAAGTTGGCAGAATTTATCTGTGCTCTCATTGAGACGCTAATGTCTTGTCAGACATATATTATAAAAATTAAAAAAAGGGATTCCTACCTCCTCTATGCCAGGAAAGTGCTCCAGGAACTGAGACACATATGTCATGATGGATTGTTCATCTGGTGCATTGATAGTCAAATCTGGGCATGGGCAGACAAAGAACATGACCACGTTGGCATTTAAAAAATAGACTCCCATGTAAATGAGGTTCCCTCCTAGTCATGACTTACAGGGCTAGACTGATCTTATGATAAAACATTGTTTGAGAAATATAATGGCTATGGCATATTGACACCATCAGTATACAATTGGTTCCCTATAAGCCTTGCTTTCACTAGGTACAATCTTTGTGTAAAATGTAAGAGCGTCAACCGTTGTGCTTATGTTTTTTTGTAGCTATCCCCAGTTACCTAGGAACCAACCCGTTCACGTATCTAACAGATATTCCCCACTCAGCGAGACACCCGCTGAGAAGCCAACTCTGGTTATTGGTAGCTCTATTATGAGACACGTGAATTTAGAGACTTAAGCGTCCACAGTCACATGCATTCCGGGGGCCAGAGCGGGCGACGTTGAGGCGCATCTTAGACTGCTGGCTAAAAATAAACGTAAATACAGTAGGATTGTTATTCACGTCGGTGGTAATGATGTTCGTTTACGCCAATCAGAATGCACCAAACTTAATGTGGAGTCGGTGTGTAGTTATGCTAAAACAATGTCGGACACCGTAATCTTCTCTGGTCCCCTCCCCAATCTGATCAATGATGACATGTATAGCCGCATGTCATCATTTCAGCGCTGGTTGTCTTGGTGGTGCCCAGCAAACAATGTGGGCTTCGTGAATAATTGGACAGCCTTCTGGGGAAAACCTGGTCTGATTAAGAGAGACGGCATTCATCCTACTTTGGAAGGTGCAAATCTCATTTCGGCAAACATTTCAGGGCTTTGTGGACTTAATCCATGACAAACTGGAGTTGAGACCAGGAGGCAGAGTCGCAGTCTTACACGCTTCTCTGCGCTCTCTCCTAGGCAGTCATCCATAGGAATCCCGAACCCAATAAAATACCCAATATTAACGGTGTGTGTGTCTGCCCAAGGACAATTTAAGGTAAAACCTAATAGAGGTGTCATACATAATAACCTAATAAAAGTAAATGTAACAACTACTACAGTGCAACAAAACAGGAAGATTAAATGTGGTCTCTTAAACATAAGATCTCTAGCATCTAAAGCAATATTGGTAAATGATTTAATATCAGATTATAATATTGATATATGCTGTCTCACTGAAACTTGGTTGAGACATGAAGAATATGTCAGCGTAAATGAGGCCACTCCACCCAGCCATATCAATACTCATATTGCCCGAGGCACGGGCCGAGGAGGTGGAGTTGCAGCAATCTTTGACTCAAGTTTACGTTATCAATACTAAACAAAAA